TAATTTTTTATCAAAAATCTTTTTTAAATGTAATTATTTTTTTGTAAATGTAAGTACTTTTTTGTTATATTTGTTTAATTTTATAGATATAAATACTTTTTGGTTCAAAAAATATTTAGGGACTTGTTCAAAATATGAATGTTCATTGGGTTTTTTTCCGGACTTTTTTCATTATTTTACCACATTAACTAGTTGTACAAGTTATAAGAATGTATCCAACAGGTTTTAGAAAAGTCCAAGGAGTTATTTAACATGTTTTGGATTGTCCAATGATTTATTTGTTCCAAAAATTGTCCAATGAGTTATTTAACATGTTTTAAATTGTCCAAGAGCTTATTTGTTCCAAAAAATTGTCCAATGAGTTATTTAACATGTTTTGAAATGTCCAAGGACTTATTTGTTCCAAAAAATTGTCCAAGTACTTAATCATTCCAAACACTAAAGTCCATTGAGTTTTTTTTAGACTTTTCCCTTTAAAGAAAGAAAGAGATAAGATTATATCTTTATCACTTCATTTGGAGAAAAACCTACTGAAAGAGAAAAAGAGTGTTGTGGTGGTGAGAAATGTTCTTGAAGAAATCTTTTGTTCAAAGCTGTTTAAAGAGTTTGTGATTTGCTGTGTGTTTTAAAATTGCAGAATCTGTTATTATTAAGGTGTGTTTTAAAATTACAGTTGATTATAAACTATTGGGTTTTGATGATTGTGGATTTTAGAACAAATCTAGTGAATACTGTTTTCTAAACAATTTAAACCAGATGTTTATGATTTTGGATTAAAAACTGTTTTAGAAAGATGAAACAGTTATTGTGCTTTAAAAACAGATTTGAGAAATAAGATTATGGTTTTTTAAAAGGGATTTAAAGGGAGTTTGATGTTTGGAAATCATGGAAAGAACAAGTTGTTCTTGAGTTTGAAGGTTTTAATGATAAAACTGTTTTGAAACCATTATTGGTTGAAAACTATAGAGGACATCTCATCAAGACGGTTGTGACTTCGGTCTATCTTCGTTTGGGATTAATCTATAGATTTTATGAATAAAACTATGAATGATGATTCGATAAGATGGTTGTGACTGCGGTCCTTCATCTGAACTAGTTCATAGATTTTGAAGAAGAAATAAGGGTGACATATTAAGGAGAGGTGTATTTTTGGATATAAGGGTGGTATATCAAGGAGATGTATACTTTTGTATATAAAGGTGGCATATCAAGAAGAGATGTCTCGGATAAATGTGGCATATCAAGGAGAGGTGTACCTTTGGATATAAGGGTGGCAATTGTGTGTGGATACTATAGCTCTTGCTATTATGTCTTTTAAGATTACAATAGATTTGAGTCCTTACTTCTTTGTGATTTGAGAATTCAAAGATGTTGTTCTTATTAGAAATGATAGTATTGATGTTATTGAGAAGGGGAAAACTTGGCCTATGGCCATTGATTTTGGTTAAAAGTATTTTAGAATGTCCATTTTATGAGGAATCATAGAGGCTCTGGTTGTTCCTTTAAAAGAAACAAGAAGGACTTTGATTTGGACCTCAATATAGAACCAAGAGGGTTATGGATAATGATTTGAAAATTATGTCTTTTACAAAGTTTTAGTTAAACCAGAGGCTCTGTATCTATTAGAAATGAGCTATGTACCAAATTTACATTTTTTAAAAGATATTTCAAAGATTATTTATACTTAGAATCTTTTTATGAAAAACAGACCAGAAGGGCTCTAGTTGGCTTACACATTGAACCAGAAAGCTTTGGTTGGTCTTGTTTTTTGAACCAGAAGCTCTGGTTAGTACAAACAGAAGCTTTGGTTATACATGAACTCTTTACAATCATTTTTAGTTATGGAAAA